CTATCCGCAATACTCAAAGTAATTTAAGCGTTTCATAACTTAACCCATTAGAAGTCACTGTACTCATATGAGTACACCTAAAATTCTACGCATAAACTTAATATCTCTTATATTTTTGTAGAGTAACCCTATTATCTTAATTCATTATAAAATTGTCTAACTATATTGATAAATTATATGAGGGTAGTGCGATATTTTTTTCACATTATTTACGTTGCCCGCCAATCTACTTCAAAATCAAACCCTACGTGGCGGAAATGTGCAATCCTGCAAAATGGAGTTGGACACTATCCACTAAAAATTTAAAAGCAACTACGATGTGTCCTTTGTCATTCAAGAGTACCTACGTTGGCAATGTAAAAAGTGCTAAAACACTTTGTGTAGAAATATCGTGTTTTAAAAATTTTCATACTTAGGTGGTCAGTGTACCCAATTGAGTACACACCTAAATTATCATGAAAAATACTATTTTCCATTTTTTTTCTCGCATTTACTGTTCTTATACTCTCAGTTGATTACGAAAATAAACAAAATTAATAAAAAATATTGGTACTTTTTATTTGACCTTTAATGGGTTAATTCAATATTATAATTAATTGTTTGATTTTGTATTGCCCTGCCTATATCTATTTGACCTATTAAAGGATATATACCTCTATAATGAGTACTAACATTCGTTTTTAAGTTAAATGTTACTAACAAGAATATGGACATGGTCTGAAATATATGATTATTATTATAACCCAACCAATAGCAATTGTTTCCAGAAACATCGTAACTAAGGAATAATTTAAATTCTAGTATGTCTCAATGTACCATATACTAAGATGCTCGCTGTCCGACCAGAACCAGACCCGAGCGTACGCCTCAAAGAGCCACCAGACTACCACAGATGGGACCCAATAGAGCTGATGAAGTGCAGGAATAGGAACGGGGTGGTTTTTAGTCAGTAAAAGTCTGATACTCCCTCCCACCTCACCCAGACGGGAGAAGTCATTCGATGATTTACCTCACTTAAAAAAATTAAATTGAGATACCGGTCGCTGATCCACGCTGGTCGCGTCATTACTAATTACTATAGTGCTCTATTGTGTTATTTACTCCGCTGCCATTCCGGCCACCACGGTCGCGCGACTAGTTGCGCAACCGTGCCCCGGTGAAATATAACCCTAAGATTGTCAGCCCTTTATCCCTTTCAAGACAGTATCGCATTGCAGTAAAAATAAGCAGAAAGAACTAAAGCTATACTTGGATCGAGGTCTTTGTAAGTCAGCTAACAGCTAAGACTCAAAGAAGTTTCTCTCCCATTGAAACTTTGCTTTTAAAACGATATAAATGGAGTCAGAATTAAGCGCGCTCTGCCGTCGAACACTGGGATTGTATTGTAGTCACATAATTTAATTTGTAACAGACTATGCTTTTGTGAAATTAAATGAAAATATAGCGGGTATGGATACGAATAGAGGCTTTGATCCAATCACCGAAGAAATGAGATTGTCGATTGCGCTGAAACAGTTTATAACAGTACTATAGTCAAACGATATAAACAGAATTAAAGTATTTTAATGAAATTAACTACAACTAAACTATTAAATTGCCACGTTGAATGGCAATGCTTATTTTCTGACCGAAGAAATAGCCAGCCCTCTGGTCACGTGTACCTGCGACTTCGTACGTGCAATTCAGTTTTCTCCCGTTCCCGTAGGATTTTCAGGTTTTTTCTATCTTAAGAACCTTCTCCTTATAATAAAAAATACAGTAAAAGAAGAATAAGTGAAATCGGTCGAGCCATTCACGCGTGATGCCGTGACCAAGGGAAAAAAATGGATTCACTTTTATTAGATAAAATCGATGTGAAAGTTTTCTCTGTATGTTTGTAATGTGTCTCAATCACGTCAAAACAGTTAAAGGGATCGAAATGAAATTTGGAACAGTGCTAGATTATGGTCTGGACTAACATAGTCTACTTTTTATCCCACGAAAAAGCGGACAATATAAACGTATGGAACATTGACCTTCCTGTTTTCCATTATCCAGCAAATCACAACGGTCATCGATTTTTACTTAGTTGCAATTTTAGACTTTGCACTTGAGATTACGTCAACTTGATAGTGCGTGACCTATCTGAAAATCTTAAGGCTCCTTTGCTTAACAGTATCCAAAGTATAATTATGGTCGTTATACTAAGTCAATAGCGTAAAGGTAGCTTGTTAAAAAATGGGGCATGAGAAACATGAAACAAAGAATTGTTCGATGTGAATAGCCTGATGTAAAATTACCAGAGAATTTAGAATAAAGAAAAAGTGTCAATCAAAATATTTTCATTAGAAAATAGTTCAGAGAAACACATCATCACTTTCATTTTTGTATTAAAAGACGGGCTTTATGTTCCATTCAAGAACGTTTCAATAAAGAGTGACGATTCGTCATTAATTTACAAAAAAATCAATAATCCCGAAGTGAATAGCAATTATTGGTGGAGTTTCGTAGAAAACCAATATGAAAGAAAGCTTTATTGTATTTACCCTATCAGTGGGGTTACCGATAGCCTACCACCCCAGCCATCAAAGCCGAGTACGGAGTGTCACGTTCCCCAAGCGCCTTAACGAGACATCAGACCACCACAGATGTGGCCCAATAGGGCTGATTCCGATACAGAGCCGTGGAGGACGTAACAGGTTGCCGGGGCTTCAGCTCGAAGTGCAAGAGTAGAAACGGAGTGATTTTTTGTCAATAAGAGGCTGACACTCCCTCTCGCCTAACCCAAGGCAGGAGATTTTCCCCCTCATAAAAAAAAAATATTGCTATGAGTGCACGTAAGCAACATTGATGACTATCCAGTGTATGTAGACCATCAAGTGATCTATCTGTTTGTTTCATCATCATCATCATCATCATACCAGCCACAAGGTGTAGACATACTAAACCTCACGCCTGCCTCCCATGGCGGAAGGCAGAGACTATGGAACGCCAATAGGCGTGTCGACAGGGTAAAAAAATCAAAAAAGTAATTAGTCCGTCATTAAGATCGCACGAAAATATCAGACACGTATTTTTTGTTTTATCAAATTAACAGAAGAATACGTAGTTATTCCGCTTTAAAGTTAGGGAGTGGGGGGTGTTGACGTCACACTTACGGAGAAATCGTAACTAATTGTGACGTCACGCGTCATTTTAACTCAAAATATCTACATATTTTTTTGGATACGAGAAAAAAGAAAAAATACGTATCGAAGATTTTTAAAATATCTAAAAGACGGACAAAAAATTAAAAAATAGTCGCCATGCCTATTGCTACAACTCCCACACCACCTCTTTCGCTTCATCAACTGTCATCAGTCTTTTCATGCATGCTCGACAGTTATAAGAGTACTTTTACACCACTTCTAAACATGGGCCTCCCTCTTCGATTGCCATTAAAAATCTGTTAAGTTTTCATTTTAATTTTAATAAATATGGATTATAATCAGTCAAGCCTATAATTATATTCCCTTTGATTAAAATCTTAATCCAAAGTTTCTTTTTAAATCCATTTGAACTCAATTAATTGCTTCCTCTAATTAGACAGCTTTAATATTCATGTTACTGACTTTAAAAGTCTTTAAGAATTCTTAATTGCTTCTTTCCAAATTGTGGTTCGTCTAATACTATTTTATTAAATCGATTTTCTATTATTATCACAAAATACTTTCAGTTATATTCACTTCAGAAGAGGTTTTAAATTATTTTGAAAACTATATAACATAACATAACATCCCGCCTTTTATCCCCAAAGGGGAAGGCAGAGCATGTACATTATGATACTGTACAGTGTAACACTCACTTTTCACTATTTATGTTATGAGTCCCATGTAATAGAGGTGAGCCTATTGCCATATACCGGACACATTTCCAGACTCCGTGAAAGTACTGAGAATTTTTTAAAACCCAGTAATACTTTGCCCGACCCGGGAATCGAGCCCGAGACCCTCTGCCCGGCAGTCGCACTTGCGACCACTGGGCCAACGAGGCACTTAACTCTTACTTTAAAACTTAAAAAAAGTAAAACTGTATACTTACTAATAAAATTATAAAGTCTGTTTTCTCCTACCCTTCGGGATCTGGTCTCAGTAATATACCGCGTCCAAGCTGAGCAGGAGTTGGGTTTCAATCGGTAACTGCCTCACGCAGGGCAGGCGGAATCATTTGATGATCCCCTCTCTGAAAACACAAAATGACATACAAATTAATTGATCTCATAAAACACAATATCAGTTACAATATCTTAGTGTGACGGCCTTAATTATTATCAATATCAAAGACACAGCTTAAAGCTGATGGTACTATAAAATTCACTAAAACTTAGTTGTCTTAAGTTAATTAAATTTAAGCTAAAAAGTAACTTTTCACTGTTTGTGGTTGCATCTAAGTTAATAGGTACTTATTCAAACAATTGAGGATTGCTAACATAAAACTTTTGTTGCAAGTTTATGAATATTTACTTATAACTTAAGTAGTTTAAGTTAAAATGAAGGATTATTTATAGTTTAAAAATATATTTTGGAATTTTATAATAAGTTTTCTTTTTATGTAGTTTTGCCCCATCCTGTATATATTATTTTGTAATGAGTGAGGTATTTTTTAAAAAAACTTGCGTACTCGAATTTTGTTTCGCCTCACAATTTAGTTTTCTTTTACATTAGACGATCTAATAACAAATCAACAACAAATAATTAACGAAATCTGTTCCACGTTCTTCGAGATTTGGCCTTAGCTAAAACACATTCAGCGATTCATTTATTATATTATAGGTGACATGTTTTCAGAACATTATAATTCTTTTGCATTCATTTTTAAACTCAGATTCATCACATTTAGACCAGGGTCAACAAACACATGAAATATTGTGGTACTCGAATATCATAAGCAACACATTGTATTACAGTCAATCGCCCAGCCACTACACAGTCTGTTGTTTTGTTGTCTGACTAGCTACCTACTAATACCACGTAATATAAGGAATGAAATTAGACTCCAAGTCCCAGGATAGTAACTATCTTGGATCAGAAAAGGTCTTATTTGGAAATTCGGAGTTAGGCTTTGAGGGAAATATATGTCAATAGGTTCGCCCTCCATTTATATAGGAAAAATGCTACGAATAAAAGAAACATCTACTTTATTAAAAAGATTTTTGTACCATAGTTAGTTCATCACCAACAGCCTATAAGTGGCCACTGCTGAGCAAAGCCTCTTCTTACACTAAAAGGTTTGAGCATTAATCACCACGCTTGCTCATTGCGGGTTGGCGATTTCAAACTTATAATTAGAAATTATAAGTCCAGGTTTCCTCACGATATTATCCTTCACTGTTTGTTAGTGGTATATAAATAATCTTAGAAAGTATGTACATAATTATAACTCGGAAAAAGTCACATTGATACTTGATGTTGGTAGGTTTCGAACCCATAGTTAATTGACTGACTAGAATTATTTATAACCTTTATAAAGATCTAGAAATCAATGGAATGATATACACCGATGTACGTTCATTGAAATAATCAAGTGTCTTGCCGAAAACTCAAAGTAAGTCAACTTCATGCCACGACTTGATGTTTTACTGAACTTAGTCATTGAAACAAGAATACAGTGGCAACTATAACAGCCAAATAAATCAACGAGGTAATATTTAATTAACTAACAAAGGGGCTTAGAACTAAGAAGCACCTTTAATCAATTTCATCTTAATTTAGAAACTTGTGAAGATATTCTATACTAAAGCGATTCCTCTAATTTCGTTGGAAGCCGAAGAAATACCTTTGGATAGCAGGAAATATTCGATTTACCAAAACGTTGCCAGAATATCGTTTTACTTTCGCAATTTTATTTTTGTTCACCATCCAAGTTACATGTCTGATTAAACATATCTTGCGGAGATTGATTTTTTCCATTTATCGAAATGTTATTTCTAAGATACATATCTAACTAAGATATGTGAAATCGATATTTTGAAGTATATTGAAATATTTTTTCTTAGCGTTTTCCGTTTAATGTGCTGACATTAAAACTTAATTTCTTTTGTTTACAGATGGCGTTTTCAGGAACGAGTTAGAAGCGCGCGGGCGCGGTACGGAGTCAGCGTTCCTCGGCGAGCTACACTCGACGCTGGCGCCCCCTGCCGCGCCCGACCACGACTGGCAGCACACCCTCTCACTTATACTCAAAGGCCTCGTTTTTACAACCATCATTATCGGAGCTCTCTTCGGCAACGCCCTCGTCATCATATCTGTCCATAGACACAGAAAACTTCGCGTCCTGACGAACTATTACGTCGTCAGTCTAGCCGTAGCTGACATGCTCGTCGCATTATGCGCGATGACCTTCAACGCAAGCGCTGAACTGACTGACACTTGGCTATTTGGCCCTTTAGTCTGTGATATCTTCAACTCCCTTGATGTTTACTTCTCCAGTGCATCAATACTTCACCTTTGCTGCATATCCGTTGACAGATATTATGCTATAGTCAGACCTCTGGAGTATCCAGTCACTATGACTCATAGAACTGTGTGTTTCATGCTAGCAAATGTATGGTTATGGCCAGCCTTCATCAGTTTCGTGCCAATATTCATGGGCTGGTATACCACAGAACAGCATCGCCAAGAAAGATTACACCATCCTGATGTTTGTATGTTCAAAGTGAATATGGTTTACGCTATTGTATCATCAAGCGTTTCTTTCTGGATACCCAGTCTAGTTATGATATCAATGTACTGTCGAATATTTAGAGAAGCTATTAGACAAAGGGAAGCATTGACGAGAACTTCTTCAAATATTCTTTTGAATTCTGTCCATATGAAGCACACTTCGCATTCAGCGCATCATTCACATTACCTGCATCCCGAAAGAAGGCCATCTGATATCAGCCCGAACTACAGTACGTTTACAGAAGTAGGCCCAGAAGAGACTGAATTTGGTGGAGAAGTTATGATGGCTATAGGGGACATCTGTCCAAGTAAAGAGGCTAGTCCAAGAAAGTCGGTGAATGTAAGCTGTGATACTGCAAGTTCTGGTTATTGTTCTGGAGGGTCTAACAAGAGATCTTCGAGTGGACAGCCACCTCCTGGATGGAGACCAAGCTGTTCTTCTGCCGTGGCGACTAGAGACCTAGCAAAAGCTGCTACAGAACTCAACGCTCAAGGTATGTAATTGTGTATCAAACATTGACATTTTGTTAATTAATTATTTTCAGGTAGTGAGTAAATTTGCTCGACATTTAGAACATTTCCGTTCTATTATAGTAGTTCAGTAATCCAAATTGCAAATCCCAATAACATCCAAAACTGTGTTTTATCATGCTTGGAAAACGGAAACCTACTTCACCGTCGAACCAGTAAAATTAATTTACGTCAACAATATTACATTATTGTATCTATTTATACCGGATAGTCCCTAACAAAGCGGATCATTTCATCCATTTGTGTAGGTTAAATGATTTCTATGAAACAAGAGAGGGTCGCGATCCGGCTAAGCAAGGACAAAGACAGATCCCTTAAATCTTCGAGTATCACTCAAATACAAGTGTTATCATGTCCTTGTAATATTTCCAGTAAATCTAGGATTTATTTCGATACAATAAAGGCTATTGGGAATAACTATTGAAGATACAAGAATGTTTGAGCAATGTGACTAGATAAAGTGAAAAAAATGATGAGTACGCGTCTGGGATAAATTGGGCTGTTTCTTGTAAATTGAAATTGACAAGTAAATCGTTTCTTACTTCATATGTCCGATATTTTTTAAAGGCGTAGGTTGAGATATACATACATATTGACAAATCACTCACTATCCATCAACTTTATAAGTTCAATAATGGAGAGTGTTCACGATTTTAGAAATGTAAGTGACTATGAAGCTTTGACCGCTACAAATTGGTGTGTAACATTAGTTTGTCGTACAATCAAAATTGACCGAAATATGATGACTTGCACTTTTCATACAAAATTTACGTTGTAATGTGACGTCATAGTACAAAGTCCCATACATTGTATTTTTAAACATAGTGAACGGTAGTGGGTAGGTAATAGTCATCATTAAATCATCAAATCCTCAAACGGCGTAAATATCCAAATCTAAGCAAGCTGAACCTTGATTTCTTTAATTCATAGTGGGTACCTATATGGTCCTTAATATTTGGAGTAATTTGTGCATCATTATAGATGTTGGCATGTTTCTACTTTCTGTTACTAATCGTGGAAACCAGTAATTGGCTTCTTGTTGCATACCACATTCTATTTAATCAAATTGTATAGCTGTTGGTTTTGCAAATGTATAAAAAAATAAATAAATAAATCTAGTAGGTAACTACTATTTTGACCTATTTGGGGTCGAGACTCTTGGACCATGGGGTGCCAGGGCATATTCGGTTTATAAAAAATTGCCCGTAGGCTAATCGACTCCACTCATGACCAAAGAGCTAGCTATCTCTTCGGACAGAAAATAAGCATTGCCATTCAACATGGCAATGCTGCGAGTCTTCTGGGCACGTTTCCCAGTGACAGTGATGTGGACGAATTCTTTGATGCCTAACTGACAGAATTTCTTTGTTCTTTTTTTCATTATTCTTTTAATCGCTGTATTAATTTTAGTCAATTTTAAGGTAGTAGGTACATGTTTAATCATATTATGTTATTTATTAATGAAGGTATTTGAAGATACAAATGCGTTGGTACTTACTTAATTTACGTCACAGTAAGATTCTCCATTGTTATGCCCAAACGAATGTAAAATAATGTCATTGACTTCGACCATCAACAATTTCTATTGCCCAATTTGAGAAAAAACAATAAGCTTCATGTACTTCTGTTATACCCATGACCTTAAATCACTGCAGCAGTATATCTTATTCTCTTTAATTTTCCGTCTTGAATCCAAGATTCTACTTGAGCGATTAACTTCCAATTTCGAACTAAGACACTCGAGCGAAGTGACTCTGAACTAATAAAGATAACAAATCGGAACTGAGTAGATGTTCAACCATCTAAATGGTGAGAAAGTTAAATTTTACCGTTTGTCATGAAGATAATGATCAGTTAGGCAGTTAGCCGATACCGGTATACCCAGCAACCCTTGTAATAGCTGAAAGTTTCAACTATGTAGAACCAGAATTTATAGTAGACGTCTTGATCAAAGGTGTTCCTACAGAGTTTGGAAGTTATCTTGTCAGTTCTTATTGAAATAAATTCTTTATAAAATAGTTTTGAAACTTCTAGCTTTTTGATGGCAACTTTTGAGTGATGTTCTAAAATAAGATACTGTGGTGCGTGATAATTTGGTGAACAGTAAGTAGAATTAAACTGAACATTGAGTAGATTATTGACTGTAAGATCTTCATGTTAACTTCTCGCTAACCGCAACAACATACCGTACTATACGCAGCCAATCCAGTAATTGATTTATTTATTTATTTGTTCATGTACACAACACAGACAATACACAGAAAAAAATATATATTATAACAAAACAGAGGTACATAGGTACTGCATATCCCATATGGGATTTCTTACTGCAGCCCTGCGAAAGGAGAAATAAATACAACATATGACACAGTGTGTAACAACAAAAAAAAAAACAAACAAGAAGAAGACAATGAAAACTTAAACTTAACTGATGTTAAGTAGTCGTATCGTACTGACCATGTTTTTTTTAAGGGCGGAAAATCATTGAGTTACTGCTCCCGCCTGGGTGAGGCGGTAGGGAGTGTCAGACTTTTACTGACTAAAAACCACCCCGTTCCTTCTCCTGCACATCGAGCCGGAGCCCCGGATACTCGTTAGGTTCTACTGACCATGATTAAGCTACAGATTGAGCGGCAGCCGTTTGCCTAGTCACCGCGTCAACTGTGCAGTCATAATTATCCTCTTAGTACTTTACCACCATCAAAAACAGTTTCATTCACTAATATACAATTTCTAACATTCAAAAGGAATTAAATTTAAGTAGTTTCGCCTTAGTGCATTAAAATTTAGGGCCTCTTAAGAAACCTTTCAAAACTAATGTCTGTTTAAGAGAGAATCTTAACAATATTCAAAGAGCATTATCGTTTGGGAGTAGCCATAGTGAACTTGCGAAGTGGTCTATAAAATAGAATAGCATACTTCGTGTCTCTACATGTAGAAACAACTTATTCTGAAACGGGTTTATTATGTTCTGTACCATTTTCTAACATTAGATATTGATACTATTTTCGTTGAATTGATGATTATATTGCATTATTTGTATTGTCATCACCGTTGGCGTTTACATTTGAATCTCACATGACCAGATTTAACAAAAATTCTTTGTAAAAAACTACTGGAAAATACTTTTGGTAGAAGTAAGTTTGAGCACGACTTGTTGCTAATATGATTTTTTTTTAAACGTTACCCCATACTAGAGTTTTCTGCTATATCGTGGGTGCGTTTACAAACATAGAATATCATATTCACATAACAATCAGACCCAGAACAACAATCTATGGATCACACAAAGAGTATGATCGATAATAGTATGCAGGAATCGAACACGTTGCGCGGTAGCCAACCACGCGACAACCGTGCAGTCTATTGAAATCTTAAATGCTTTCATAACTTACGAATGTTTGGTCTCTCATTTGGAACTTAATAGATAATGCACTATAAAATTTATATCGTTTTCGTCCCGAAGTCGTCGTACATTTCGAAGTAACATAGTTCTGTTCCGGTAATAAAATGGTTTTACAAAGAAGTAAAATGTATAAAACAAAAAATTACTAGCGAACCATTGCAAAAAGCAAACTCCGAAGGCGCCTATGAACTCATAGTACACACGGCTACACATCAAGCTTTACATAACCAGTATAAACTGAACGTTAAATGTGCGAAAAGATGATGCGACGCGACACCAGGATAAACTGGTTTTGTATAGATTGATGTGTGGCCGTGTGTACATTATCAGAACATCAGGCCATTTCATTCTCAAAGAGAGATTTCTAGTCTAGAGGCAAGTTTGATGCAAATAGTGTCAACAAATTTACATCTAGTGTCTCATGTGTGTAAGTCGATGAATAATAAAAAAAAGAGTTGTCATATTTATTTTTGTATTTTTACTTTATAAATCGAAAGTACTCCTTATGGCAAGTTGTTTTGCCGAGGGACAACAATAAGGTAGATTTTACGGTGTATGAAATGTCTCATTTATTCTGTAATAATTATTATCCAGTACTAGCTGTTGCCCGCGACTTCCTTCGTGTGGATTTGTGATTCACAGCTTCTCCCCCGTAGATGATAGCGTGATAATATGTAGCCTATATGTTGACCCGACCTGTTAGTAATATTCATGCAAAATTTAAAGTAAATCCATGCAGTACTTTTTGAGATCATCCCTGACATACATACAGACAAACAAACAAACAAATATTTCAAAAAATATATTTTTGACTTCGGTATCTTCGATCAACAATTCGGTATTGACTGTAGATCATGCCCCAAGTATTCTTTAAAAAAAATATTCAAAATACACTTTTCATTATTCTACGTTTTTGTTATATGTACCTATCTAGATATAGATTACAAGTGTTACCCCAAACTCCACATTGAATGCAAAACTTGTAAAATCACACGAACCACACTTCCCAAATGATGTCACTGAGTCTTATAACCACTTGACAGTATTTATATTTGAGCCGTCAAGGAAAAATTTTCTTTTGGACAAAAAAGACGAAACATTTAATGGTTTCTTTGGCTTGTACAAAGTTTGTTCAAAGTCTCCAGTCCAATGATCCTACTTGACCCCTCTCGATGATACTTAGCCGATTTTGTTATACTTTCATCCTTTCCATGCCTCAGTTTTAAGTATATGTACCACATAAGGGTCTTAGTTGAACGCAAAGCCAAAGGTTCTTTTGAGACACTTCTTTCTTCAGCATAGTCAAATAATATTTTATAAACCAATATTTTAACAGTATTAGTAGGTTTTTTTGTTCTGACTTACATGGTAACGTTCTTACCTTAGTCATACATCTGAATCCATTCTACGTACTATGTTACACATGGCCGCTACTAAACTAAGATTTTATATTACATTTAAAGATGAAATGAAAAAAATAACTGCTCGGAACAATAGTTGTCAAAATTCAATCTCTAACTTTCAATTCAGCTTTACCATACCTATTTTAATACTGAA